CATAGGGGGCGCCACCGCCGGCTCGCACAAAGCAGTACCTACCACGAGGGGTCGCAAACAATGTTCATAGGGGGCGCCACCGCCGGCTCGCACAAAGCAGTACCTACCACGAGGGGTCGCCGACGATGCTGATAGGCGGCGCCACTGCCGGGTCGCACCAGTGGAGAGGGGGCGCTGTGATCGTCTGTCGTATGACGTGCTGATGCAGCAGGTGGTTGCTAAGGACGACCTCCCAGACGCCCGCCTGCTGAGCTAGGTTGTACGGCTCGGCGCTGACATCATAGGCTGCAACGACAAACGCAGTCAGCGAACAGTAACTAACAACCCACCTCTCCCAATCCCGGTCCCAACCAAGGATCCCCCTCCCCTTTCTCCCAATCCCGGTACTAAGCAACGACCCCCCTCTCCCAATCCCGGAACTAAGCAACGACCCCCCTCTCCTCATCCTGGTACTAAGCAACGACCCCCCTCTCCCAATCGCAGCCATGCCCAACGACGTCCCCTTCTCCCTACCCCGGCTCCAACTAACACCCCTCTCCCCATCCCGGTCCCAACCAACGACCCCCTCTCCCCATCCTGGTACTAACCAACGACCCCCTCTCTCCATCCTGGTACTAACCAACGACCCCCCCTCTCCCCATAGATAGATAGATAGATAGATATAGCACCATGGTACCACCCACCCCACCCACCACACACACACCCAATAAGAAATGATATACTATCGTTCCGCCACTCATATATTATATACACACTGCGTGGAATTGACACGTAATTCCGTTAGAACACAGTGTAGCCGGCAGCCGTCTCAATTTCCTGCAGCTCTGCCGACACCGTGGCGCGTACCTGTAATTTATTAGCAGGTATGTGACGAGAAAAGCAGCGTGACTCACTGCATGCACGCGCAGGTCTTCAAACGAAGATCTATAATATCAAGAGCTAATAAATACCTGTTTATTAGCTCTTGATATTATATATATATATATATATATGATGTGCGCGGGCTAAGCGCATTCATACGGGTTTCTCATGCGCTACTAATCCCCATACAATTCCTATGTAATTCTCATATCAGTCGCCGACAAAGGAATAATACCGTGATTAGAGGCAGCTTGCTTGTGCGCGAGGGGGGGGGAGGGGGGGGGGAGGTGGGGGATGTGTTTGTCGGTGCTCGAATGATGCTGCACTCTAAATGATACTGCGCCTCGTGCTAACGCATGAGATAAGGAATTTATTGTGATGGAAATAATTGAGAAGACTGTTGTTGACAGGTGGTAATTAGATAACATCTCGTACTCCGGAAATGAGAAAAATAATATATAAGCGCGTGCGTTTATTGTGTGTGTGTGGTGGGTGGGTGGGGGGGGGGGGCTAAATACCACCCGCAGATCTGCACTGACAGAACGCGCTGACTAGTAATGAAACTGACTCGTGACTTGATGCGGGGCCCACTATACACGTCGACACGCCGTGCTGGCTCGTAATAAAAAATCTAACCCCTATATAAGGTCACCGGGGAGGAGATTTGGCTAGGAGTTGTTGATTTGCGACTAGTTCAGAGGTCGACATTTTCCCCAGCTCGGGTAAGCATTCGCGAATCTTGATTTTGGATGCCGATCAGCTAGCTAGATTGTAACCGTCTGCTTGGAAGAATTTTATTTTATGGAATTTAATTTATTTTATGGAATCTTTAGTGACAATCGTGCGCTGAAACACGCAAATGTAATTGAGGTTGTGAGTAATGCTAACCTATCTCGTATGTGCTGTTGTTTTTTGTGACTTGAACTAAAATTACATCTCACGTGAATGTCATAGACATTTTAAATACTTATTTAACTCGTTTATGGGTTTTCTTTATGAAATGATAACTTCCTTAGCTCGTGAATCGTTCGGTTCAACCACAAATTTGTTTCACGAATCACAATTGCCGCTCATATACGTCATCACATTTACATGTCATACGTTAAGTCATAATCAACCATAAACAACAGCAATAATCGTGAGTACGTGAGTGTATATATCCCGCCAATTACCTCTAAAAAAATACAAACAACCACGCTCAAATGTAGCACGCACTATCCATATAACTGCGTCTGAAACGCGTGCACTCGTTTTTCTTCGTAACAGAAGGATAAAAAAAACCACCAGACCATGTTTCTAACCCATCGTCGCACAGCACCGCTGCTGTTACTGCTACTGGTGGTGGTTACCGCACACCTGGTCGCCAGTGAAGACCTGGACGAGTGTCGTGGTGAGAAGAGGGGACTTCAGACGGGAATCGAAGCTCTATCTACGATGCTGGGAGACTGCCGCAATGAGCTGAGCAACGAGAGAGGTCTGTGTAAGGAACGCGTGCGAGCAGTCAGCCTACAGTGTCAACAGAAGCAAGGCAGCGAGGCTGGAGAGCGTTAACCAGACCAGTGCGACTTCCATCTGTGAAGCGTATAACCCGTGTGAAATCTGTCGCGAGGTCTATCTCGTTTATAACTTGTCGGAATGCAGGGAAACCAAAGTCAGGACGTCTAAAGAAATACATCAGCTGATTTTTGAATCTAAAATCTTGCAGTTATATATATATATATATATATATATATCAAACCGCGTGCTAAATTTAATTTCGATTTTTTTTTCATTTCCCGTGGGAGGAACGTGTGTACTAGCATGAAAGCGTAATTATACGAAGGTGGTGACAGTTTCCTACCGTAATAAGTTGCTATTAAAACGTCTATGTTTGAAACACCTACGACTATCTATCATGGCTTGAGGTAATGACGTCATCTACCTTATTACACATTTTCACGCATGGTCGAGCCTCGCGCACTGAAATCTTAATAATATATGATTGCATTTAAATGCACGCCACATATGCGCAATTTGTATTTCATCTACATTATCTTCGTGGCTAACTTTAGAAGCATTTATAATTCCTCTCTCACGTGCTGGCGGGGTAACGCCAGTCCGTCCGTGCCGCGCGCGCACGCACACACACACACACACGGTCACGCGCGCGCTCACACGCACACACACGGTCACGCGCGCGCGCACACGCACACACACATGGTCACGCGCGCGCGCACACGCACACACACACGGTCACGCGCGCGCGCACACGCACGCACACATATATACGCACGCACGCACACACACACACATACACACGCACGCACGCGCGCGCACACACACACACACACACACACACACACACACACACACACTACACAGAAAAGAGAGAGCGAGCAGAGAGAAAGAGAAGAGAAAGAAGAGAGCGACAGAGAGAGAGAGAGAGAGAGAGAGAGAGAGGGAGCGAGAGAGAGAGAGTAGAGAGAGTGAGAGAGAGAGAGAGAGAGAGAGAGCGCAGCGAAAGATGAGAGAGAGGTGGAGGAGCGAGAGGCGGCGAGAGAGAGAGAGAAAGAGGGGGGGGGGAGAGACAGATAGATAATAGATCGGTGCTTTAATATTGCACGCCCTAACATAGCATGCATGTGACCTAACGGTACCATCGCTTCCAGGCACACGGATAAACACATAAACACAGGTATATATATACACTTACACACACTGACAAGCACTGTCACACATGCTCTCTCTCTCTCTCTCTCTCTCTCTCTCTCTCTCTCTCTCTCTCTCTTCTCTCTCTCTCTCTCTCTCTCTCTCTCTCGCTCTCGCTCTCGCTCTTCTCTCTCTCTCTCTCTCTCTCTCTCTTCTCTCTCTCTTCTCTCTCTCTCTGTCTCTCTCTCTCTCTTTCTCTCTCTCTCTCTCTCTCTCTCCCTCTCTCTCTCTGCTTCTTGATACTGCTACACAGGGACAACGTTTACTTTTGTTGACAAGGAGCGACAGGCAGGCAACAGCAGTGCCAGGCCGCGACACGCACATTCGTTGTCATCGCTACCTTCGCATATTAAAGCGAGCAAAATTAATACGAACGGCGAGCCATCGCCCATTGTACGCCAGCGCCGCCTCGCAGCACTGTCGAAAATTGATGACGTGTTTGTTGTTCCTTGCACCACAAGCAGTACGCCGGTGGCCATCAATACCAGCAGCATATACCCGCGTGCGTGTCACACGCTCTGTTTCTCAATGACAGCATCCACGTGCTGGTGGTGGCGCGCGCGCGTGGTGTGGCTGTGTGCAGTGTGGTGTTGGTGTGTGTGTGTCTGTGGTGTGTGTGTTGTGTGTGTGTGCGTGTGTGTATGTGTGTGTGTGTGTGCTGTGCGTGCGTGCGTGCGTGTGCGTGCGTGCGTGTGCTGTGTGTGTGTGTGTGTTGGGTGTGTGTGTTTGTGTGTGTGCTGTGTGTGTGCGTTGCGTGTGTGGTGTGTGTGTGTTGTGTGTGTTTGTTGTGTGTGTGTGTCTGTGTGTGTGTGTGTGTGTGTGTGTGTTGCGCTCGCGCAGCAGCCTGTGTAGTGATCATGCCTACATATACAATACATTCAGTACACTGATTAAACACATCGTCTCTCTGTTTCTGTCTCGCTCTCTCTCTCTCTCTCTTCTCTCTCTCTTCTCTCTCTCTCTATATATATATATATATATATATATATATATATATATATTTATGCGTATGTGAGTTCGTTGCGTGCGTTGCGAGCGTGTGTTGCGTGCGTGCATGCGTGTGTGCGTTCGTGCGGTGTGCGTGTGTTGGTGGTTACAAGTGAATGCACGCTATCGCTTACCGATACAACACCCATCAAAAAGCTAGGCAAAGCAGTTACGTTTGCGCAAAGGGATGCGCTCGCTGTGTTAGATGAAGTAGACTCGATTAACGACTGGCGTTACAGAGCTAATGAGAAGACCCGGTTAGTCGCGGAAACGTTCGGTTGAACAGGGTTGTCCGCGAGCCTGCCCTAATGAATGACACAGTGATTTACTGCTTTGAAAGATAACAGGCGATTAAGCGTGGAAACACGATAGGTAAGAAGGGTGTGTAGACTGGAGAAAGAGAGAGAGAGATGAGAGAGAGAGAGAGGAGCGCGGAGAGAGCAGACAGAGAGGGAGAGAGCTGAGAGAGAGAGAGAGATGAGAGTGAAAGACGAGGAGAAGAGATGGGGAGCAAGTTCGGAGGGACGGAGACATGATTGAGAGACTCAGGGGGAGAGGCGATGGAGAGAGAGCGAGAGCAGAGATAGAGCTGCAGCAGCAGAGAGAGCGCTATATGTATAATACGTGCACTCATTAACGTGAGACAGAGGCAGAAGAGATACGATTACGAGTGAACAGAGAAGAGCTAGAGAGAGGAAAGCCCTGACAAGAAGTGAAGTGAGGCCAGAGAGATAGGCACGATAGAGAAACAGACAGGATTCACGAACATCGGACAGGAAGGACACGAACCAAGGACAAACCAAGATACGGCGCCTTTACCCTTCCGCAGCTTTACTCTCATCCGCAATCAATGCCGAATCCCACCTTATAGTATTTATCCGGTATCGGCGGACCCTTCTCCGATCAATGTTATCACCACGTGAACGTCCTCATGCATTACCACACTGATGACACAAACACAAATGCATCATTGCGCAATCACGCACGTCCGTACACTACGCCTAAGCCGCGGATAGACACACGCGACAGATAGTAGACCAGCTAGTACAGTCTATACCTACCTCTACGCAGCAGCTAAAAAACTCTTTAACGTGAGAGACATAGGATGAGGGTTCGACCTCGACGATGATGTAGCCGAGGATGAATTCAGTAACACATAAAAGTCAGTTACATAGAGCAAGAGTGTTCCTACCCGATAACGTACGTTCCCACTCGCTCACCCACGCATTATTGTCGCTACACATTTTAACGTCACACAGTTATATATCGTCACACAGTTATATATCGTCATCACAGTTATATCGTTCAACAGTTATATATCGTCACACAGTTATATATCGTCAACACAGTTATATCGTCACACAGTTATATATTCGTCACACAGTTATATTCGTCACACAGTTATATATCGTCACACAGTTATATCGTCACACAGTTATATCGTCACACAGTTATATATCGTCACACAGTTATATCGTCACACAGTTATATATCGTCACACAGTTATATCGTCACACAGTTATATCGTCACACAGTTATATATCGTCACACACAGTTATATCGTCACACAGTTATATATCGTCACACAGTTATATCGTCACCATTATATATCGTCCACAGTTATATCGTCACACGTCTATATCGTCACACAGTTATCTTCGTCACACAGCTTATATCGTCACACATGTTATATATCGTCACACAGTTATATATCGTCACACACAGTTATATCGCTCACACAGTTATATATCGTCACACAGTGTATATCGCGCTCACACCAGTTATATATCGTCACACAGTTATATATCGTCACACAGTTATATATCGTCACACAGTTATATATCGTCACGCAGTTATATCGTCACACAGTTATATATCGTCACACAGTTATATTGTCACTCAGTTATATCGTCCCGCAGTTATATATCGCCATACAGTTATATATCGTCACACAGTTATATATCGTCACACAGTTATATATCGTCACGCAGTTATATATCGTCACACAGTTATATTGTCACGCAGTTATATCGTCACACAGTTACATATCGTCACACAGTTATATCGTCACACAGTTATATCAGTATGTGAATAATAACGGACATCTATTATAATCTATTATTATTCACTCCTGGTTATATAGTCACATACACATATATTGTCTGCTCGCCG